TCTGAGGCAGCAGAGAGGAAAAGACAGGTCCGCAGTTGGCTCCGCGAAGGACTCGTCAAGATCCGGGTCTGGCAGCAGACCTACTTCACGTATGGCCGTGGATGTGGAACACAGCCAGAGGGATTCAGCGACTGACAGTCCAGAGGTCAGTGCCCTTTCAGAAAAAAAAGGAATTCCAAGGAAATGCACGCAGAGAAAAAAAAAAAAACAGCTGTCAGGGGCGTATCCTGGTTCAAAGGAAAACCCCGTCTCTGGTCCTGAGCCGGTCCTAACGATGCCGTCAGTGCAGGAAAAACCAAAGACAGCGAGTGTGTGAGCCGCTCCAGCTGAGAGCACCGGCGTGTGGTCAGTTTGCTGAGCGACGCTCCGGTCAGCTGTGCATACGTGTCCACGAGTGTTTCGTCTGCGTGTGTGTTTTGTGTGTTTGTGTGTGTGTTTGTGTGTGTAGAGAGGGAGCGATGAAGGGAAGCCCGGCGCTCCGGTGACAACACGGAGCCAGGATCGGTCTCTGCCTCGGCTGGATATTCTCATCTGCTCTATCCTCTGCTTACAGACGCCGGCAGAGAGAGAGAGAGAGAGAGAGAGAGAGGGAGGGAGAGGGAGGGAGAGCCAGAGAGAGAGAGGGAGAAAAAATGCTTTTATCTCCTGGCTGCTGCAGCCTCACACTCTCTCACAACCCACCCCTCCCTTCTTGGCTCTCCTCCTCCTCCGATCTGCTTCCTAGTTCCTCCTACCTCTCTCTCTCTCTCTCTCTCTTTACCCTCTTTCTCACACATTTCCATCCAAACACACATGACCGTGCACACACACTGGACCCAAACCTCCTCTGAATGACAGGCAGCACCGTGGTTGTGGAGGCGACGTCACAACACACGGTAACAACAGTAACAACGGTAACAACGGTAACAACCCTCACAGCCAGAAATGTTGGCGCTGCTTCTCGTCACCTCTTCTCCACCATCGCTGACTGTCAGCGAGGCCGAGGTGTAAGAATAGATCTGGTTTAAAAATGAAACACGGAGGGAAAAAAGGCAGAGGAACAGATTATAAGATGGGAAACTGAAGGGAAAAAAATGAAAATTAGGTCGAAAAAAATTAGAGCTTTCTTTATCAAATAAATTGATTTTAGACAGAAATATAAATTAATAATATGATTTGGACAAGTTTGGCGGGCCGGATTAAAAAGCCAAACGGGCCGCTTTCGGTCCCCGGGCCGTAGTTTGCCCACTCCTGGTCCAGAACCAGGAACTTTTGCTGTGACTAGTTTGGAATGTGAACCAGATTTTCAGCAAATAAAAATGTTGTGAATTGAATTTCCATCAGTGAGCGCTCCTTCAGTATTATGGTCTGTCTGTGGTCACAGCAGGAAACGCCAGGACAAATCAACAGCACTGGTTCAAACTGCAGGGTTTGACACTGAGCGAATCACTTTTACGCTCAGCCTGTTGCCAGGCAGAATCCATAAAATAAATAACTTTTTTTACATTGAGTGTAATTGGCTTATACCATGGTTTGTGACAGGTCGACTGGTATCAGCCAATCAAATTTCAAAATAAAACCTCTTTCAGACTTCATTCTGTCAGTTTCAGATACTGAATGACCTTTGACCTGTTGTTTTGAAACATTATCTTTGAATGAAAAAAGTAAAGCGATATGACTGGATTCCTTTGAAATGAAATAAAGTAGTAAAACTGAAGTACTTTTTTTTTTTTACTGCGACCTGGTACCAACTGACCTATGGACCGGCATTGGTCCCCTGGCCAGGGGTTGGGGACCCCCAGTTTAAGAAACACTGGTATAATGGACTTTATCATAACTACGTCTTTGGGGTTCTGGAAAAACTTAATAAAACAAAATGAGGGGAAAAAATAGCAGCAGTAAAATTTAGAAGCAACAAGAATCGATTTGTTCACAAAAATAATAGATAAGATAGAAGATAAACAGTCTTTCTCACAGCGCCGACCCACCGGTACAGGCTGAGTACAGTACTGCAGTACCAGCAGCAGCAGCAGCAGCTGTACTGCAGATATATTTTTTTAACTTGCTGAGGCAGCTGACATGAAACACTGTGTCCTCTCCTCTCAGGAACTCCCCTCAGGAACCTCCACTCTTCTTCTTCTTCTACTACTGTTACACTGACTGACTGTCTTCATGACGCTGTTACTACAGCCAGGAAACTTCCCAGGGTTCCTCACTCTGGGTTTATTCACTCTGTGTCACAGCTTATTGTACAGACCCACAGAGAGGCTCTGAACGACACTGATGAAGTGGCTCCACCTGCTGACCGTGACTTAAACCTTCACCTTACACCAACTGAGAAATGGACCCTGGAGTTAGCCAATCACAGGCAGACACAGAGGAACAGCAGGAAAGGATGACGAAGGGGAATTTATGAGGAGACTGCTGCCATCCTGTGGCTCGGCTGAGTCACTGCAGTCAGACCTTGTATTAATGAACTGTAAATAAACATATATTTGATCTGACTTGTGTTGGACAAACACGTATACATGTAAGTGATCAAAATTCTGCTGAGCCCCCATATAAAATGAGTGAAGGAGTAACAACAACTGTCGATAACACACTCGACCCAGATGAGGAGTCACGGCTCACAGGGGAGATCTCTGATAGGTGGATCAGTGGAAAAATGGAGGCCTATTTCCAGAAATAACGTCTTCTTCATCATTATCATCATCATCA